AAGAAAAGAATAAATACAATTCTGCTCTGACAAGATATAGACACAGTGGGCAGGAGGCCTTGCTCTCCTCACTCTTCCCTTCAACAGACACTGGAGCTCTTGTCTTTGGGTGGAGGTCTCTGGGGCTATCCTTTTCTGTGGGGCTTAAGCCCCCTAAGTAGCTGCCACTTTGTAAAGAGATGTTCCCCTTTAGGCATCAGTTAACAAAAAGCGTATGGGTAGAAGCAGGCTGGTTGCTTGGTTACAATGCTGTGAGGTGACATTTGGCAGCAGAGGCTTTTTGACATTTTAGAGTATGAAGGGCTATAGGAGAAGATTGGACAGGCTTGTCAGTCACCTGTGCCTGCTGACAGCACAGACTGCAAATGCATGGAAAAGCAGAGCCACCCCACCCCCATCCAGCCCCCAGTCAGCTATCTGTCCAGGGCAATCTGTGGGCAGGACCCCCCTCGGCCATTGCTATTGCCAGATCTGTTGTCCTCCTCACCCAAACAAGGCAACCAGCATCTCTCAGGGGACAAGGCTGCCAAAAGACATGAGCCACCCTACCCCTCAACACATACCACCCTCCACTGTGGAGAGAACTGTAACCCAGGGCTAGAAGAGGGATAAGTTACCACTGCTGGTTTTTGTTTGCTCTTGTCTGGGGAGTGCATGTCCTCAGGGAGGGGCCACCTGGTTAAAGGGGAAAAAATCTGCTTTTAGTTCTACCTTTGGAATCAGGAAGCAAGCCTTTAATCAGATTAAACAGTGCTGGGGTTAAAAAGAATAGAGCAGATATAAGATAACAAAATAGGTCAAGTTCTCGCTCATTGTGCTAACAGAGAAAATATCAAGGTAGGAGGAGTGCTAATTTAGATGGAGGATCAGGGAAGACTTCTTGGAGGAAATAACATTTAATCGGGGTCTGGAAGACTAGGAAGGGTCACCTCCCTCCAACCCTAGAATAAAACCCTGTTCCTCAGAGGCCCAGGGCACCTTGCTCCTTGCTCACTACACTGCAGCCATGGAGCCTTCCCTGTCACTTAAACCTGCCAAGGCCTCTGTACCCTCCGCCTGGAAGTTTCTCCTTAGGGATAGGCAAGGCTGCTCCCTCTGGCCATCAGGTTTCAGCTCAGATGTTAACTGTTTAGAGAGGCCGTCCCTGACTACCATGGCTACCCTAACTCCCTCATCTCTCACAATTTTATCTCTTTGGTTTATTTTCTGCGTAGCCCTTGTCACGATTAAAAATTATTTGTTTGTTTATTGTCTCTATTACATTAATGCTTCACCTCTATTGTAATACATGCTCCAAGAGGTGGGGGACGTTGCTTGTTCACTGCGGTGTCCCCAGCACTAGAAGAATCTTCTGGACACAGCACTCAATAACTTGCACAGGGAAAAGTAGGGGAGAAAAAGGGTGTCCGCCGGGAAAAAAGTGTGTGGGGGTGAAGGCGCACAGGGGAGGTGGGGAAATCCCCCAGCCAGAGCCTGTCGCTTCGGAACTGGTTCGCTCGGACGCCTGCAGGCGTAAGTCCGAGGGAGGTGCAAACTCGGACAGAGCCTGGTTCTCCCAGGGGAAGCCCCCACCTCGCCAGGGCTCCCTACCCTGCAGCCTCAGCTCTGCGCAAACACCCTGACTCCGGGATGCCGGGTGCAGGCGGCCGCCCCACACACCTCCCATCGCAGCCGAGAGGAACTGGGACCCCGGTCCATTCGCCTGCCCGGACGCTCCCCAAGGTTCTCTGGACCAAAGGATAATTGAGGTGGGGGCGCCAGCTGCGAGTGAGATCCCCACCGTGCTCAGCGCAGCCTCTGCGCGGGCCACAGACTCAGTCGGGCCGGGATCGGAGGACCGATCCCCTCTACAGTCCCCGCCCCGCGGCCGGGGCCGACTCACCCTGGCCAGCCGCCCGGGACAGCAACGAGGGGAACGTACGGCACCGGGCGCACAGAACTCCAGATTCTGGCCCGCCCCCGGAAACGGGCCGCGACGCCGCTCTGGGAGGCTGGGAGGACCACGCACCTCGGTGGCGCTCTGTAGTCTCGGCGCTCTCGGGCTCCTGGAGCGGGCTATCGCGAGAGCTGCTGAGGGCGGGGGCTGCGTACAGCGACCCCCAGGCTTGAGGGGCGCTGTAGCTGGAGAGGCCCGATGGCCGCGGAAAGACAGAATTGGGCGTCCGCGTTCTCAGTGCTCCGTTCCCACTGGGGATCCGAGGCGGCGAACTTCCATTCCTCGAGCTCACTCCCTGCACCCCGCGTGCCAGGCCCGGGTGGGCTGCGGAGGTCGGGAACCGGGCGGCAGCAACCCCCGGACCCACAGGGCGGCGAAGCGGGCAGGGCGTCGGGGCCCCAGGCTTGGGGGTTGTTATACATATATACATTTATTTGTCGTTTGGTACGATTTTTCAGATGTCAAGTGTTATGCACCCCTAGAAAGAACTTTAAGATAGGCTTGAGGCTGGGCGCGGTGGCTCACGCCTGTAATCCTAGCACTCTGGGAGGCCGAGGCAGGCGGATTGTTTGAGTTTAGGAGTTCGAAACCAGCCTGAGCAAGAGCGAGACCCCATCTGTACTAAAATTAGAAAGAAATTAATCAGACAACTAAAAATATATAGAAAAAATTAGCTGGGCATGGTGGCACATGCCTGTAGTCCCAGCTACTCGGGAGGCTGAGGCAGGAGGATCGCTTGAGCCCAGGAGTTTGAGGTTGCTGTGAGCTAGGATGACGCCACGGCCCTCTAGCCTGGGCAACACAGTGAGACTCTGTCTCAAAAAAAAAAAAAAAAGATAGGCTTGAAAATGTAGTCTACACTGAGAGAAACATGCCAGATAAAAATCAAGATTCTTCTAACCAAATAATGTGAGAGTAGATACCGGGGAGGAGCCAGTAGTTTGCTTTGCTATACTAGGTAGATATGAACCAGAAAGCTGGGGTAACAATGTTAATATCATACCAAGTAGAAATCAAAGAACAAAAAGGATTAAGAGCAACATTTATAAGCCAGTGAAAGGAAGCTGTACAACCAGAAACATGTACCACACATCTAATACAGCCTCAAAATACCAAAACCAACAACTGACAAAACCACAGAGAAAAACAGATTGTCCAACAGTTTTTCTTTTTTCCTTGCAGTGACTTGGAACGTCCAACAGTTGTGGCTTGAGATTTGAACACTCCTCTCAGAAACAGATCAAGCAGAATTCAAGTTAAAATGTAGATGGGAACCACAAAAAAGATGTGTGTGAAGAGATACTGATTGACACCCCAAAAGCAAAAACAAGATCTACATCTCTTTGAGGACAAAGAAAATATTAACAATAGCCGAAATCTAGTTCACAAAAGAAGCCTAGGTAGAAACAATAAATGTAGAAAGAGTTAAATAGTTTCAATAAACCCTGTATTTTTGGAAACTAAATAGCATCCTATTAAACAACTCCTGGGATAAAGTGCAATTCATGTAGAACACGACAAGGTACTTAGAATGAAAACACTTTGCGGGATACTTAAACAGAGAATAAAATATGTAATATGTATGTGTTTATACAACCTTTCAACATGTTTATAAGTGTATGTATAATGCTACTATAAATATATCTGAAAAAATTCTCGTTTTTGTTGATTTAAGTCTTGTTTTGTTTCAACATGTATATTTTCTTTCCTTTTTGCTGTGTTTTGGAGGGAGATAACTTGTATGTATTTAACTAATATTGTCTTAGTTCATTTGTGCTACTATAAAAAAATACCACACAGTACATAATTTATAAACAGAAATTTATTTCTCACAGTTCTGGAGGCTGGAAGTTCAAGATTAAGGCACTGGCAGGATTGTTTCCTGCGAGGGCTGCTGTTACCAAGATGGCACTTTATTGTTGCATTCTCTGGAGGGGAGAAAGGCTGTGTTGTGTCCTCTCCAGTGGAGGGGATGTAAGGGCAAGAGAGGACTCCCTTCAACTTCAAGCCCTTTCATAAGGGTGCTAATCCCACTCATGAGGTCAGAGCCCGCATGAGTTAATCACCTCCCGAAGGCCACACCTTAGTACTGCTGCATTGGGGATTTTCAGCATGAATTTTGGAGGGGACATCATCATGCAAACTGTAACATGCATAAATCTTTACTCCAACTTTACCCCAGGTATTAGCTAGGTTTCCCTTTTCTCTGTGGAGTTATAATCTTGGGTCCCAACACATCCACAACTTTTCTAGGTCTAAAGATCCCCAAATAATCTATTGTCAAACAAATTTTAAAAATACCTTTTTTATCTTCTTTCTGGTTGGTCAGCAAAAGAAAAAAAAATACCTTTTGAAGGATTATAATACAAAGACCAGAACTGAAAGTACCTTGAGCAAAGAGCACAATAGGACGAATTTTCATACCCAGAATACACAATGAAAATGGCACCAGGTCTGTGAATATTTTCAGTGTTTCTGCTGCTCCCTCTGGTTTACCTCTCCAGTCTGCACCCAAGGTGGCCACTTTGTCACTTCTAACAGCCCAGTGATTTTTGTAAACATTTTTATGCCCTTTGTGTGTTATTTGCTCATTTGATCCTCATAATAATCGTGTAAGGATGGCCTTGCTGAAATAACAGGAAAATATCTCTGTAACTTTCTAATAACAGCTAAAGATCAATTGTATAAGCTCTCTCTCTGCTGGCAGGCAACCCGCTGGGACTCTTGTTTTCAAAAACACCTGAAAAGAGCCCAAAAAGGTAATGTAAATTTTTTACAGTTGCTACACCTACTGACTAAAACTGCCTTTTGGCATGTTTCTATAGCCTGGAGTAGTTCCTGACAAGTTCCTGGATAACAACAGGGGGGACAAACTCCAGATGTCAAATCCAGCCCTAACTCATATCTTGAGGGCAAGGTCAGTGACAAGATCTCTAACAGCCATTCCTGCTATCTATTGCCAAAGAAAAGAAACAGATGCCGCAGTCTCACATAGCCATTCTATTATCTGCTTGCAGTTTAGAAGGAGTCCATACGACAATTCACAACACCCTGTTAATTTGACTATGACTATAAATCATCTTTCATCCTATTTTTTACATCTCCAAATAAAAGGTCTGAGTAGCAGTTTTTCTAGGCTGATACACTTTTCCATTCTCTCTCACGTTCGGCCCTTTCCTACTCTTGGTAAAGTAAAATAAACTTCTTCCTTCTATCCTAATCTCTGGAGAAATTTTTCTCAAACCAGCGTGCACGAGCTCTATGCCAGCACTCCACCCTAACAAATACCATGAAGACATACTACTGTCCCCACATTAAAGTGAGGACAGCATAGTGTTCCTGTTACTTGTCCAGGTCCCAGGAGTATTCAGTAGCAGAGCTAGGATCCAACCTCCAGACCTCTCTCCAGGGCATCACCTCTATAACCACTAAACTGTGCTGTGAAACCATCATGGCAAGTGGGAGAAACAGTCCAATTCAAGCAACTGAGTGTGCTGAAGAATTTCTACTCATCCCACACCCCCTTTGTTTTCAGATCCTCTGAATATGTCAGGTTTTAGTCTAAAATGTGGTTCTTGGTGCACTCATGGCAGAAGATGACCAGACACGCCAAAGTTAGGCAAGCATGAAAATGAAGTTTATTGAGGAGCGAAAAATAGGGTTATAGGGCAAGAGCAAGATATAGGTTTACATAGCATGGTATATACACCACAGGTGACAGACCCATTGCTGCAGCAGGGCAAGTAAAATGAAGGGCAAAAAGAGGTTAGCTACCACGGTCTATGTCTTATTTTATAGTGTCTGGATAAGGACCTCCCACAGAACCACTTTGATTAGGCAGTTGGGAGTCACATGACCTGAGCTTTAGGTACGCAAGTGGGCTCTAGGTCACTTTCCAGACTTTATGGTACCCAAGCTGCTTGGCCTATGGGCTAGAGAAGCCTCTGCATTCTTTTGCAGCTGGTGCACCAAGTTCTGATTGGCAGATTCGTAGGGTATTTCCTCCTTACCCAGGTATGGCGAATTACAGTTGGGGCAGGACGAAGACGGGGGCAACGGCATGGAATGGCGTGGCCTGGAATGGGTGGCTCTGTGTCACCCCGGAGAAGTCACTCAATCTCTCGGTGCCGCCTCGGTAGCTCAAGGGACAACAACCGAGCCCTGGGAGACCTCTGTGAGGGTCAGCCTCTCCCTGAGACGCGCTCGCGACCATCGTGGGGTCCATAGCCCACCAAGTGCGCCTGCGCAGAGGTCCCAACTCCAGGGCAGCGCCGCTCCCCCAGGCGGACTACGAGCCCCAGCGTGTACCGCGCTCGGACGGCCGCGGCACGACCGGAAGCTGATGCGGGTATGAGCCCCGCCCCGGAAGATAAGGCGGCTCGCGGGCGCCGGTTTCCTCTTTCGGCCGCGTTAGTCCACAGGTAGGTTGTGCTCAGGGCGCTGAGGCCTCTGCATCATCCGCCGCCATCCGCCACCCTGTGGCTCGCCAGGGTCCCCGGCCGACGCTCCTGAGAGGACGATGGCGCGGGCGACTACAAAGAGAGTCGGGGGTGGGGGAGTGCGCGCGGCCTCGGGGGCGGGGTCCCAGGAATCCGGGCTAGAGGGTGTCTGGCTGCCCCGGCGCTGACCGTGAGCCCCCCTTAGACCCGCCGCCATGGGCCGCGTGATCCGTGGACAGAGGAAGGGCGCCGGCTCCGTCTTCCGCGCACACGTGAAGCACCGCAAGGGCGCCGCGCGACTGCGCGCCGTGGACTTCGCAGAGCGGCACGGCTACATCAAGGGCATCGTGAAGGTGGGGGGCGCAGCCAGGGCGGGTGGGGGGAACCGGGTGCCCTGCCGGGACCCCGCGCTCACGCTGCCACGGCCCGCAGGATATCATCCACGACCCAGGCCGCGGCGCGCCCCTCGCAAAGGTAGTCTTCCGCGATCCATACCGATTTAAGAAGCGGACGGAGCTGTTTATCGCCGCCGAGGGCATTCATACGGGCCAGTTCGTGTACTGTGGCAAGAAAGGTTAGCCTCGAGACTGGGAAGGAAGGTCGAGTTGGGGAGGGGCTGGAGGGCTGCCTGAGAAGCTAACCCAAGTCGGGGCAGGAGCATTCTAGGCAGAAGGCTCACGTGGGGAGATCCCGCGTGGTCAGACGAGCTACCCAGTGGGTGTCTGGAGAAATGTAGGAGGTGGCAGTGCTCCCCACTTTGGGAGCTGCCTGGAGCGAGTGGGTTCTCGTTGCCTTTGGCTGCGCTGATCACCCGGTGCTACATCCCCTTTCAGCCCAGCTCAACATTGGCAATGTTCTCCCTGTGGGCACCATGCCTGAGGGTACGATCGTGTGCTGCCTGGAAGAGAAGCCTGGGGACCGTGGCAAGCTGGCTCGGGCCTCAGGGAACTATGCCACTGTTATCTCCCATAATCCGGAGACTAAGAAGACCCGTGTGAAGCTGCCCTCTGGCTCCAAAAAAGTCATCTCTTCAGCTAACAGAGCGGTTGTTGGTGAGTGCCAGGCAGCAGTTGAATGCTCAGGGCTGTGGTTGGGCAGGCTCTGGCTAGCCAGCAGCTAGACCTGGTCTTTAGGATCTGATTGTCTATTCCTTTAAAGTTTGAGCTCGTCTTGTAGTTTTAGTTGTTATAGATGTAAAGTGGGTACAATAGTGCTTACTCTGATGCTGTTGTGGAGTTGGGCGAGATTGTGATTAAGTCGCCCAGGATTTGTCAGATGACCTGTCTGTGCTCTAGCACAGCAGTCCCCAACCTTTTTGGCACCAGGGACTGGTTTCATGCAAGACAATTTTTCCATGGGGGGGGGAGGGCATGGGTTCGGAATGATTCAAGCACATTACATTTATCGTGCAGTCAAATCTCTCTGTTAACAGTCTGTATTTGCAGCTGCTCCCCAGCACTAGCATCACCGTCTCAGCTCCACCTAAGATCTCTCCCATTAGGTAGGATTCTCACTCCTATGAGAATCTAGTGCTGCTGCTGATCTGATAGGAGGCGGAGCTTATGTGGTTATCTGAGTGATGGGGGGCTGCTGTAAATACAGATGAAGCTTCACTGGCTCACCTACTCAACTCCTGTTATGTGGCCAGCATCCTGACGGGCCACAGATGGGCATTGGGGACTGCAGCTCTAGCATAACCTGGTCTTTTGGCATCCAGTTGGTTAACAGCCATTTCAGAGAAGACAGGGTCAGAAATTTGTGACTTTGTCAAAAACATTTAGTGAGTGAGTGAAAAAGGATTTGAATCCAGGGTAGTTCACTTTGCTGTTTGGCTACATCTTGGAATCCCTATGTCTTGGTTTGTCTGCCCACTGGAACTTGAAGAAGCTCGATGTCAGCTCACAGGGTGCAAGGGGCTTCTTATGGTGGAGGATGGTGGGTTTTTTGCTTGGTAGTTGTTGATGCTATATGACTGAGTGGTAAATGAGTGATTGGCACAGGGTGGGTAGTTGGCAAGGATGGGAGGTGGTAGTGGTCTGACTGACATGAGGATCCTGCAGTGCTGGGGATAGTGTGATGCACATCCCTGAGGTACCTGAACCTCTATAGGTGTGGTGGCTGGAGGTGGCCGAATTGACAAACCCATCCTGAAGGCTGGCCGTGCTTACCACAAATACAAGGCAAAGAGGAACTGCTGGCCACGCGTGCGGGGTGTAGCCATGAACGTAAGTATCCCAGAAATGTGGGGTGAGGTATTGAAGGTACAGTGGCCACATGTCTGGGTGGACAAGTCCCTTCCAGGGGTGTCATTTTCCGCAACAATAGAGTTATCTCTAGTTTCAGGGCTGTTGATCCTGCTCCAGCCCTCCTGAAACAGGTGAGGACATTCCCATTCTAACTGCACCCTCCTCTGCCTGCAGCCCGTGGAGCATCCCTTTGGAGGTGGTAACCACCAGCACATTGGCAAGCCCTCCACCATCCGCAGAGATGCCCCTGCTGGCCGAAAAGTGGGTCTCATTGCTGCCCGCCGGACTGGACGTCTCCGGGGAACCAAGACCGTTCAGGAGAAAGAGAACTAGGGCAGAGGGGCTCAATAAAGCTTGTCCTCACACCACTATGTTGTGTGCCCCATGGTTTCACAGGTGGGGTCTCTGCTGGGAAGACTGCCAGGGGAGCCCCTGGTTGTTACAGGGGGGAGGAAGATACAGTAGACCACCAGTGAATAATGGAAGCTCTGAGGGGAAAGTCTGTGGTTGGAGAAGGAGGTGCAAGTCCCCTGGGCCAGAGGCTTGCTTTCCCATGGAGGGCACCAAGAAGTTGGCATCCTAGACCTGGCACTTAGGTGGGTGACTCAGGCCTACCTGCAGAGCTTGATGTAAGAGTCCATTTCACAGATGAGGAAACTGAAGAATGGGAAATAGATTAGAACCCAATGCTGAGCCTGGTGCTCTGGACTCAAATTTATTCTGCCTTGGTAAGGAGACCCACACCAGGTGACTCTTGCCAGGCTCACTGCTAACCTGCCCAGTTCCTGCAGCTGTCTTTTGTTCAGGGTCTGTGGGCAACTCCCTTCCTCTCTTGAAATAGGGTAAGCCCCTAAGTTAATGTGATCTTGTAAAGTCACTGTCTAGGGTGCTTGGCTTGCAGGTGCCCACCTTGTGGGAGGGTCAGCCAACCTACCTTGCAGAGAGAGCTTGGGGGTGGGGCTTGGAGGAAAGTGGGACAGACACCCTGTCCAGGCCAAGATAGCTATGTCTAGCCTCGTCCCTGGGAACAGGTCACATGCTTATCTCTCCCACCCATGGTGGGGAGTGAGTGGTCACTGCCAGAGTGAAGGGTTCTGGTTACCTTTCCCTCTGGGCTGAGCTTCATGTCCTCCCGCTTTCTCTAGCCTGGTAGTGACAAGTGAGGCTGAGGCTGATGATAATGGGTGTGGGCTCCCTGGTCCCAGTACACATTGGAATGGCTAACTTTGCTGAACAAAGGAATGGACAAATGCAGTATATGTATGGGGGTCCCAGACCACCTGTGAGTCCATCCACCTACCTAGAGCCCCACATAATTCACTTTTTGATCCCTGGAACCCCTGAATCCCACACCATATAGCACGTGGCTCTCCCTGCACTGGGGTAGAGAAACCCACCAGGAACAGAGGCCTCAAACTTGCATTCATTAACTAGTTTTGACCACTTGGAGAAAGTAGGTGAGAGTGGTCATGACCTTTACCTGCTGTCAGATTCCTGAGAAACCACAGGTTAGAAACAAGGGAAGATATGGGAGAACAAGACATGCATGATAAGTGGGCTCCCTGTTTGGCCACTGTGGGTTCTTGTCCCTTAAGCACAACAGGCTGCATGCCCTCCAGGCAGCATCAGATGTGAGCCTTATCAGTGCTTTCAGACAGAAGTTCACTTCCACTGGTAAATGCGGAAGCTGCAGTCCAGTCCCTAACACAACACTCCTGTGGGCTGTGGAGACAGCATTACACGGGTGGATGGCAGGACTGGAGCAGGCAGGCTGAAGTGGGGTGCTCCCTCCCTGAAGACTGGCTGGGGGGCACTGGTTGGAGAGTGCCTGATGGGTGAGAACCCATTAATTAAAGCTGTGTGGCTGTAGGTGGAGTCACTAGGAGTCCTCACTGGCTGCTGGGTAGCGGCTCCTTGCTCTCATGGTCCACAGCCATTCTTACCCCCTAGTTCTTGGTCTTGCTTTCCTGATCCTGCTAATGTGGGCCCTACCTGTCCTTGGGTACCCACCACAGCTAGGCAGTGACTCTGCAGGGCAGAGACCTGGTTTTGATCCTCTGTCGTTTGCAGGGCTGGCCCAGGGTCCCAGGTTACAGGTAGAGCAGGAAGGCGGCATTTCCTCCTGAAGGATGGTGGGGTATCTAGACAGAAGGTGTTGGGATGGCACGAGACGTGGTTGCCTCAGCCATAAGCTGCCACTGATTATCTGCTCCCTTCTGGGCAAAGTAGGTTCAGGCCTTGGTCTAGAGACAGGCCATCAGGGAGGGCTTGCTCCAGAAGCTGCTGAGGCACCTGAGAAGACCCTCTCTCTAGTTAGAGTGGACACTGGGCCCCATTTACAGAGGTTAGGGGTAGGGGGCAATGGGTTAATTGGTAAAACAGGTTTCTTGGGCTAGTTAGCATGCTTTTGGCCCTGAGAAAGGGTGAAGTTCCCACTGCCTTTCTCTGTAAAGGGCCTGATCCTTTCTTGCTTGTGGAGCCTTGTGTGGCTCATTAGGGAGAGAATTTCTCAGGAAAGGGAAAATACGGTAATCCGTTAACCTTCGATTGGTTGCCTCGGTTCTGAGGTCTGAGAGTCGGCTTCAGACTGCCATTTAGTGGCGGCATTGCCGATTTGCAGCATCGTCGAGTTCTCCGGGAGCTACCTCGCGCCAGGAAGGCGGACAACAGAGACGCGCTGTCCTCGCTTCCCAGAGCAGCCCGAACGGAGCCGCTGGGACCGGTCGCAGGGGTCGGCCTGACGTCACTTCCTGCTCGGGCTCGATTGGCTGGGCCGGCAGGCGGACGGGTCTTGGTCGGGCGGCCGCTAGTCCTCTGCGCTGAGGTGAGTGGTCCCGACGGGGGGCGTGGGTGGCAGCGGCTGCAGAGCCTCCGGTTTGGAGCACAGACCTTTCCCCACGATCTGCCCCAACGCCGGCCCTCCCGGGAAGCTCCGGTTCGGGATTCGCCCCGCCATGAAAGACACCTCCCGCGTGGGGTCCCCACAGGCCCCAAGCCCTGACTGGTCTTCCCGCCCCCCGCACCCCCGTTTACCTCCATCTCCGTCCACCTCCCCCTGGCGCCGGGTCGTTTATTACCCGGTTTCTCCCCTGCTCTAGAGTGCCCCCTCGCACGTCCCATGCCGGTCCTCTGCCCCACAGGTCCCCTTCTGAGTCTCGGGACGTTCCGGACCCCTTTCTTCTGGTGAGCCGAGGCCCTCCCCTTCCAAGTCTCCCATTCTCCTCTTTCCTGTCAACCTTTTTTTTTTTTTTTTGAGACAGAGTCTCACTGTGTTGCCCGGGCTAGAGTGCCGTGGCGTCAGCCTAGCTCACAGCAACCTCAGACTCCTGGGCTCAAGCGATCCTCCTGCCTCAGCCTCCCGAGTAGCTGGGACTACAGGCATGCGCCACCATGCCCGGCTAATTTTTTTCTATATATTTTTAGCTGTCCGATTAATTTCTTTCTATTTTTGGTAGAGACGGGGTCTCGCTCTTGCTCAGGCTGGTCTCGAACTCCTGAGCTCAAACGATCCGCCCGCCTCAGCCTCCCAGAGTGCTAGGATTACAGGCGTGAGCCACCGCGCCCGGCCTCCTGTCAACTTTTAAGGAGCTGGGCTCGCTTCTCTATCCGTAGTCCATTCCATTTCCCCCCACCCCCCTGCACATACTACCCCTCTCTTTGCCTTTGGCAACCAGAGTTCCCAAAATGCTCATCCCACTGGATGTACCTTCTTTCCACCCCACCCTCTCGTTGCTTGTGGTACTCCCAGGCTTTTCTTCCTGCAGCCAAGCAGCCAAATTTTTGTTTCTTATTTTTCAAGGTTTGAAGTGTTACTTCCCTATTGTCCTGCGCTTTTTAATATGTATTTTTAAAGAAAGTACAGAGAATAGGTTAACAAAAACCAGCGATTGCCAGTTCTCATTTTGCCACAGTGGTTTCAAGTTTTGTTTTTTTTAAGAAATAAAACATTACTGTTAAAGTAATTCCCTTCCTCAGAAGCACCCTTATTCTGACCAGTATCTTACCAATATCCTTTCAGCTCATTTTCTTATACCCCTGCACAGCCAGTATTGTTTCTGTGTTTTAACAATCTATACACATATTATACCATGGATATTCTATCCCTGACAATTTTAGTCAACCCTATAACTTTGTGCTCTGTCTCCTTGACATTGATGTATTCATTTCAACTACGGTGACCTTGCTGATGGACATTAAGGTTTTTTTCTCATACACAGGCACATGGTAACATTCTTGTGTTTCTTCCTGTGTGCATTAGCAAGAGTTTCCATAGGGCACATACTCAGAATTAGATTTCTTGTTGTCTAAGAGGTTTTATAGGGTTTCAGCTCTACCAGGTAGTGCCAGACATTTTCGGAGTGCCGGTGCCAGTTTACAGTCCTACTGGACTCTGAGGGTCTCCATGTTTCCTCATGTCTTCAACATTTGGTATTATACAGCATTTTACATTTTTGCAAATCTGTGTGGAGAGAAGTCTTGTTTTACCTTGCATTTCCGCAACTCTTAATGACATCGAAAGTCTTTTCAAATGTTTATTAAACAGTTTGATTTCTTTATCTGATTTACCCAGTCATATCCTGTGTTCATTTTTTTAAAAAGTGAGCGGCCTTTTTAAAAAATTCCAGTGGATTTTTTCTTATTTTGAAAGTTTGTTTAAATATGTTTTGCATATTTATATTTTGTTACATATGTTTGCAATATCTTTTCATTTTACAGTGTGTCTTTTAACTTTGGGGTGTCTTATACAAAAGGTTTTCTTTCTTTTCTTTTCTTTTTTTTCTTCCCTTTCTTCCCTTCCTTCCTTTTTCTTTTCTTCCTTTCTTTCCTTTTTTTCTTTTTTGGACAGAGTCTCACTCTGTCACCCAGGCTGGAGTGCAGTGGCATAATCATAGCTCACAGCAGTCTCCAACTCCTGGCCTCAAGCGATCCTCCCACCTCACCCTCCCAAAGTGCTAGGATTATATGCTTGAGCCACTGTGCCCAGCCAAGGTTTTTTTTTAAATTTTATTTATTTATTTATGTATTTATTTTATTTCAGCATGTTATGGGGGTACAGATGTTTAGGTTACATATGTTGCCCTTGCCCCCCCCCAAGTCCGAGCTTCAAGCGTGTCCATCCCCCGATGGTGTGCATTGCACTCTTTGTGTATGCATATACCCGGTCCCCTCCTCCCCCCTGCCCGACATCCAATAAATGTTATTCTTATATGTGCAGTTATGTGTTGAAAAAATATGGAACATCTCACGAATTTGCGTGTCATCCTTGCGCAGGGGCCATGCTAATCTTCTCTATCGTTCCAATTTTAGTATATGTGCTGCCAAAGCGAGCACCCAGCCAAGGTTTTTACTTTTTGATGGAGTCAAATGAA